TTGAACTTTGGAGACATCATTAATATAAATAATTTTTATGGCCGTTGAATAAAAAATGTTTCTTTCACAAGAAATGTATAAAATTAGTGCTGTATTAGACTTACGGTACCTAATTTACATACTGTACAGACGATAGTAAACTCAACTTACTGGCCTAAACTCTTAGTAGCGTAGCGCTGGACGGCGGAAGGTATATATATAATTATAATAAAGTTTAATAAATTAAGTTAATATATAATTATATGTACAGTACCTAATTTATATATAATTTATATATAATACTGTACAGACGATAGCAAACTCAATTTACCCACCTAAACTCTCCGTAGCTTGGCGCTGGACGGCGGAAAGTTAGTTCGGCTGCCCGATGATGTTTTATCGAATTATAGGACTTTTTTTACCATGTTTGTACGGATACCGTTGCAATTTTTTCGCCGTCATATAGGAATCCGAACTATAGGAACTCGTGTTATAGGGGGTCGACTGTACTGTACAGACGATAGTAAACTCAACTAACCCCCCTAAATTCTCCTTAGCGTATAAGTATATAAGGCTGCTCGTCCACTATTAGTCCAGATTCGACCAATCCTGTCGCGAAACGAGTTGGCGATGACGTTTTACCGCATTTTTACGAGTCTCTTTTAGCTACTTTATACGAATACGGTCGCAGTTTTTTCGCCGTGATATACGAATCCGCATTATATGAACTCGCGTTATAGGGGGATCGACTGTATTAATTTTAATTAATTCAAAGTACGTTAAAATATGAAAATAATCGCGCAATATATATTTATATTTTAGAAAATACGAGGGAAGCGACGCTTCCACCGCTTCCAAGGACGGCACGCCACTTCCGGGTTCAGTCGTAAAACCCCAAAAATGATCTGTCAAAGGATGATCTGTCCCTCACCATCCGGCCACCACATTAGGTAGATCTGACCGAGACCATAATGGATTAGATAAAAAGACCTTTTTACAAGTTAGGGCTTATATAGCGTAAAGACTTTAAAAAACCTATAATCTACATGATTTTTAGTGTCTAAATGTCCTAGCTTTAGTAATATGAACTAGTGTGTGAATGATTTTAACAGTTTTTTATTTTTCCGATATTGAGGATAGTTTCAAATATTATATATTTTATGTTTCATCAATAAATGTATCATGAGTCTAAAGGTAAAATTTATCATTTTAGCTAAACAGAAAGGGGTCGTTCATTAATTACGTGTACTGCACAGTATAGAGGAGGGAGAGGGTTGCAGAAAGTGCGAAAAGTTCAACTTACATTCTATATACAGTATTACTATATAGGCTATAGAATAAGTTTCATTAGTTGTATCAATCATTTGTCTACTGTTACGTTATATTTTATAAGTACTTTATTACAATCAAATGCCTGATTATTTAAGCTGAATGATTGTTACAAAAAACTTCGATCAGTGGATAAGAAAGGTAACTTACCATTCTAGATCTTTAGGTGGGTTCCTTTAGCCTTTTGTGTTTTGAGGAAAAGAAATACTGTACATAGANACAAACTTTTTCATTATTTAATTCGGTGCACGCTTAAAGTCCAGGCCTGGCACACTAACGCGAATCCGCGTAAAGTACCCGTTAGGGAACGGCTATTTTCCGGCACACAGTAGTGTCGATAATCGTTGGAAAGTCGGAAAAATAATATAGTACTTTACATTTTTAATAAAATCAGTTTTTAATTTTTTGGAAAAACTCTAACAAAAATGTGGTCCAATTCACAATCTAACTTAAACATTGATGAACTTGTTTTGATCCAGGAATACAACATGCCATCATAAAATAGATCTTCATATGATTGCCAACAGTTGCATTAAAATAATTGTTTAAAAACTAAAATGAATGTATTAAACATCAAATGTAAAATTAATTTGATCACTGTTTAATTAATAATATTATAATTGAAATAAATCACATTACAAATGACATTGACAAATAACTTCTATTTTGAAATGTGATATCACAAGGATGTTTCATGATTCAAATAATCATTTTTATTGAGCTGAGAAAGTGAAGCTGATTTCTTTATATTCAAATGTCATTTGATTTAAATAAACTCCTCCAAAACTGCTTGACTGATCTTGATCAAATTGATATGGTCGTCAAGTCCAGGAAATATTGAGAAAAAACTCAGTCATAGGCTTACACCGAGATTTTGGGTTCTTAGGCTAGGACTCCACTACCGTAAAAACGGCGTAAAAACCCCTTGCCNTAATAAAATATTGTGCAATTATTTTCATATAATTAAAATTAATATTTATTTATTTTTTAGAGAATACCAGGGAAGCGGCGCTTCCAACGCTTCTAATGACGGCACGCCACTGATATACAGGGAAGTGTAAAAGTAAGTATACAGTTGAGAATCTGAGAAATACAAATGTTTGGTGTTCACTATTATTTTTATTATCTTTTATTAGTTTTGTGGAGTGTTGTGTTTTGAATAAACAAAGAAATACAGACAACACTAAGAACAAAGATAATCATATATTAAAACTAGGAATACAGCCAGAACGGGGTCGTAGGGGAAATATACATACAATAAGACTAGTTGTCTTCAGTCCAAGTTCTCACTTTTCTCTTTCCTTTTCACTCAGTCCATCATTTTCTCCCTCCTACCTTCTTTTACATTCCTTATATACAAATCCTCCTAGCGTCCCCTCGTGTTACATTCCAAAATACAAATTAGAAAAATAAAATACAGACAAATATTATAACACGCGAATATTTACATTGACATAATGTTACTAATAATAAACATAAATAATATTTTAGTATGAAAGAAACATCACATTTAAGCCTTTGCAAAGGGAGGGAGGGAAAAATGGTGGGCACCACCACAGTTTGTATTCCTTATTTGTGATTTAATTTGTACATAAAAATAAATGTTTTTTCTTCCTATTTCCTCCCTATATTTTTTTTTCCCATAATAACAACTGTATACCTACTTTTGCACCCCTCTGTATATTATTATTTTTATATAATAAAACTAAATTTGATATTTAACTTTATTATAAAAATATACAATAAATATCTTTGAGTACATCTTATCAGTATAGTGATAATTTTAAGTATACATATCTTAAGTATGCTGTATTAATTCTAAATATAATTTTGTATCAGAAATTTTGAATTTGTTAAATCATTAATTTTTCCAATAATTTTCAAGAAATGATCACTTAACAATAACTTTTTTCTTAACAATAAGAGAAATTAAATTTTTAAATAAAACACAATGCAGCTCAATCCTCACAGCAAATAATAAATCAAAGAAAGGAAAACTCACTGAGCACAGTGTTAATAGTTTTTATATAAACATAAGTTCATTGAAAGCGCTAGCTATATTGCTAGTTTTTTCAATGAACTTATGTTTGTCATCATCAGGTAAACAGAATTTAAAACTGAATACAAATGTTCTAACATGAGTAGAACACACATTACTTAAAATTACAAATTATGAATTAAAAACTGTTACAAGCATGCTATAAACTTCAATTATGCTCAATGTTACGATGTCATGCAGCACATGCAAGTTAATGATGTGACAGATGTAAATCACTGATTATATAGAGCAACCTGCTCAACATATGTGACATTAGACATTTGTATTCAATTTTAAATTCTGTTCACCTGATGACAACAAACATAAATTTATTGAAAGTGCTAGCAATATAAAAACTATTAATGCCATATTCAGTGAGTTTCCCTTCCTTTGGTTGTAAATAAAAGTTT